TATTTATATAGCGCTTTACTAGTCACTAAGGACCCCACATTCAGTCATCCACCCATTCACACACACATTCACACACTGGTGATGGCAAGCTACATTGTAGCCACAGCCGCCCTGGGGCGCACAGACAGAGGCGAGGCTGCCAGAAACTGGCGCCACCGGGCCCTCTGACGTAGGCACCGGGTGAAGTGTTTTGCCCAAGGACACAACGACCAAGACTGTCGGAGCCGGGGCTCGAACCAGCAACCTTCCGACTACAAGACGAACTGCCAACTCTTGAGCCACGATCGCTCCAATCCATAGGTGTTTGGACTATTAAAAGAATGAATGGCTGACAATTTTCTTCAAACAAAAAACAAAGTCCTTGATTGTGCCTAATGTAGTTAAAACTCTTGATGTCCACACGATATCAACCAAATCTTCAATGAGGAACTTTTGGGGTTCTTTTGACTCGGCCTTTAGATAAGTATGCCAAATCTCTGGTTCACTCTCTCTTTTTTTTTTAACTTAAGAAACCTTGCCAAGTTCAGTTCTATTGTATCACACTAGGAATTAGAAATTGTTCATGCTTTCATTTCATTTTTTTCTGCATTATTGTAATTCCTCATTCACTTTTCTCAAAACCTTCTTGGAACATCTGCAAATTGCTTAGAATTGAACTGTGTGGCTTCCAAGTCTTCAAAGTACTTTTAAATCGCACCAATGTTAATTCAGTGGTACTGGTACTGGCTCCCTATCAATTTGTGGTCAAGATTGTGGTTTTGGATGGGGACGCAGTGGTGTATATCAGTGAATCTTTATAGCTATACAGAACGAGCAGTCCCCCTAGGGGTTGTGATCAGGGCCTGCATGCTGCGCAGCATACAAGGCTGAGAGCTAAAGGAGACTGAGCTTTTACCATAGTGGCCCCAAGATTCAACATTGCTATCCTGTTATGCCTGAGATCTATGGACTTGGTGGTTTCTGTTTTAAAAAAAACAACAACAAACTGACATTTTTAATCAGACTTTGGGTAAATATTTTGATTGTGAAGCACTTTGCAGAAATGATCTTGAAAAGTGCTATATATATAAATTTGTACTTAAATATAGGGTTTAAAAACTGGGATTAAATGAAATGTTGCAACATAATTTGGAGAGTATTTGCATTCATATAATCAAAAATTTGTCTTCAACAATTACACCCAATCCTGTGTGAACAACACATAAAATTTAGTTGGAATAAATAAGAAAAGAAATATTATTACACACAGAGAAACACGGTTTTATCATGTGATTGTCGCTGTAATGAAAAGTACAAAACCATAACTTAACTAAGATTCTTAGAATCTAGCAGAGTCGGTGTACTAACCCCAGACCAGTCCTGAGTATGAACGAACACAAGGATGAAAGCAGTGATTGTGGCTGCTACCGTCAGACACATCACTCCAACATGGACCTGGAGGAACACAAAGAAAACAGCATGATACTGTGGCAGCTAAACCAATACAGGTTTGGACCAAGCTGTCTTACAAGTCTATTATATCTGAAATTACTTATGAAGTTAATATTTTTAGTCGCGAAATTTATTCTGGAAACACACCAAGTTTAAGTTATTTTCAAGCCTGGTTTAGTTTACAAAAACTTTGGTTCCACATTGAACAGATAATACATGGTTTTGTCTATGATGTCTCACCACAAACCAGAGATCTTTGTCGCACATCTTCTTTCCCTTGGCCATTTTTTTTAGATATCGGGCAACCATCATGCCGAGTGATCCTGTGGTCATCCAGGCAATCAGCATGAGTGATCCTGAAACACAGTTAAATATTGAAATTCTCTCCACTTCTCTTTGTTTTAGGATTTAAGATTAATTTCTTCCCCTGGAGTAAACATGTCGTCTGTCAACTGACTAAA